CGCGCACTTAACCACCAAGCCACAGGGCCGGCCCGGGAAGTGGATTCTGAAGACCATAAGCCATTCAAGATTTCCAAGAGGGGAATAACCCAAATGATCTTGTTTTCAGGACATAATTCCTGGGTAGTTGTTAGAATTACATTAAAAGGTGGTTCAGACTGGATCCTAGATGGGGTCTCTCTCTACAACAGGGTGTCTGTGGTTGAGACTGTAGGACCAAATCACGACTTAGGACACTCAATGGCCCACCCAATGCATAAAAATCAAGCGTACCAGACTGAGGATAAACCCAAAACCCAATCAAAACCCAATTTTATTGGTAATTAGAGTCTCATAACACTGGCTGGATTGAACTGATTCCTATATCTCTCCTCCCTACCCAAAATGACAGTAAGGGAATTTTTACAGATTAAAAACTCACAAGAGAATGAGAGAGATGACAAATGGTAGATGAGAGAAAGCAATATAATTATCAAAGATGGCAACTGTCAAAATGGAGAAAAATAAAACCTAAATGTGTGCAGCAAGGGGAAAGTAAACAAAAAGCAAGCTGACTGACCACCTTATCACAAATCCACCACCACACAACCAGAGGTTCCATCAGCTTTGAGTGCCTCAATCTTAAGTACGGAAAGACAGGCTAAGGTCACCAGATATTTCAAGAACACCTTCAACATGAGAGACAGGCATTAATAAACAGGAAAAAAAAAAAAAAAAGAAGGAAAATAGTTGATGCAGGAATCAGAAGAAACCTAAAAATAACTGATAACTTTAGAGACAGAAAAGAAAATGCATTCATTAAAAAAAAAAAAAAAAAAAAAAAAGAATGGAGTGCCTGAAAAAAAAAAAATGCCACTGAGAAAATAAGAGCTAGCTCTTGGAAATTAAAAATACATAGCAGGAAAAGAAATATACACATACATAGCAGAAAATATAAACAATCAATAGAAGGGTAGAAAAAGAGGTAATTCTCCTGATTAACAAAGCAAAAATGTTAAAAATGGAAAATAAGAGAAAAAATATAATTAACTTAGAGGTACATTTCAGAAAATCCAATATTCAACTAATAGAAGTTCCTGATAAAGAAAATAGGATAAAATAAAAAGAAAATTCCCCAGAACTGATGCACATAACTTGGTCAGACTGAAAGAGCTCCCTAAGTATCTAGCATTAAAATTGAAAAAATACCCACACTTAGGCCTATGAAATTTCAGGACATTTGATACAGAAGATCCTACAGCTTTCATAGAAAAATTACAGGTCACAAATAAAAGCTCTCCAATCAGAACAGCACAGGGTTTCAACAGCAACAACGAAATGTGGAAAACAAGGAATAAATGCATTTAAAAGTCCCTACCTACAATTCTATAGCCTATCAAATTATCGGTGTAAAGAATAAAACCCATTTCAGACATGCTAAAGTCTCAAAAAATTTACATCCTGTTAACCCTCCTTGGGAAGCTACGGAAGGATATACTGTACCAAACAGGGCAGTAAACCATGAAGCAGCAGCCATGGGATCCAGGAAACAGAAGAGGGGCCTAAAAAATGACCAGAGTGGTAGAGGAGACTCCAAGATGGCAGCACAGGAAAACCCTGAACTCACTTCCTCCTACAGACACATCAAATCAACACCTACACATACAGCAATTCCTCCTGAAGAGGCACTGAGGGCTCATTGAACAGCTTCTGCACAAAAAAGGATAGAGGGACCACACGGAGACACAGGCACGGTATGGACACTGAGACCTGCAGCAGGGAGGGATATCATGGAGGGGACCTGTGCATGTGCAGGCTTGCCTGGGGCACAGCAAAACAACAGCGGTTTAAATGGCACCTAGATTATATGGGAAGGAAATTCATTTACCAACTCTAGGGTGTCTGCCAAACAGGGAACTGCTGAAACTCTCTCTGGGGTGGGAGGCACCCACGAGCCCCATTTTTGCATTTCCCCTCCACCTTGACAGCGACACCTCCAGACACCCTAGCTGGCCTGCTAAGGCTGCCCCAGTGCGCCCTGGGCCCCTGGCCCACACTAGCTCCAGTCGTCCCTCCAGGCAGCCACCCCAGCCCCAGCCGTCCTGCCAAACCCACCTGAGGCACACGCAGTCTACAAAGGGGATGCTCCTACACAAGGCCACTCCTTGGAAACGAGGGGAGGTAGCTGTATCCCTTAATTCATAGAAACAAACACAGAAAGTCAAACAAAATAAGGAGACACAGGAGCATGTTCCAAAAGAAAGAACAAGGCAAAACTTTGCGGGGGGGAACCCTAATGAAACAGAGGTAAGTAATTTACTTGATAAAGAGTTCCAAGTAATAATGGTCATAAAGATGCTCACTGAACTCAGAGGAAGAATGGAGGAATACAATGAGAACTTCAAGAGAGTTAGAAAATACACGAAAAAAACTATCAGAGCTAAAGAATACAATAACTGAAATGAAAAATACACTAGAAAGAATCAACAGCAGATTAGAAGATAAAGAAATGGCCAGGGTGAAGATGAAGAGAGCTCTCAGGAATAGAGAACAGCCAATGTGCCTGTCATGGGCTGAGTTGTGTCCACCCTGCCTCCATTCATATGTTGAAGTTGTCCTAACCCCCAGGACCTCAGAATGTGACTACATTGGAGACAGGGTCTTTAAAGATTTAAGTTTAAATTAGGTCATAACGGTGGGCACTAATCCAATATGACTAGTGTCCTCATAAGAAGAGGAAATCTGAACAAAGACAGACACAGAGGGAAGACCATGGAGGACAAAGGAAGAAGATGGGCCATTATAAACAAAGAAGAGAGGCCTCAGAAGAAACCAACCCTGCTGACACCTTGATCTCAGACTTCCAGCCTCCAGAACTGTGAGAAAATAAATTCCTGTTGTTTAAACCACTCAGTCTGTGATACTTTGTTAAAACAGCCCAAGCAGACTAATACAGCATACAACCTGGAACAGGTCAAGAGGGTTCCAGGAAAGATTTCAAACAAAAAAGAATCTGATATATTTAGCCTATCCATATTAAGAGAAATGTTACAGTGGTGTTAGAGATGTGGGGGGATGAATAATAGGTCCATAGGAAGAGGCAAACAAATGAGGCAAAAGTGAGGGGACAAAAGTGGTATAAGATGTATAGGATGGCTCAGAGGTGAATGTATTTACCCAGGAAATAACATAAACTCAGAATACTGATCTAGCCAAAAGTTGGGAAATAACTAGAGTGAAAAGATGAGGGGAACAGAAGTATGTGTTTGGGTAGATGATGTGAAAGAGCTAAATCTTCTTCCACAGTAGGAATAGGTAATATCACAAATTGAAAAATCAAGAAGTGGCAATATAAGCATAGTATGTGACTATGGAGGAAAATACTAGAAGATAATGCAAAAATACTTAGTGATTGCCTTTGGGGAGTGATAATCAGAGGTAGGGCAGGAGCAGGGGTGGGGCAAATATTCTATTTCATGGTAATCTCGGTAGAACTGTTTGAATTTTAAACTACTCGTATGTGTCTTTTAAATAAAAATAATAATTTAAAAAGCTTAAACAGACCACCGAAGAGCTTCGAAAAAAGGGAGTTGCTGGTCCCATTAACCAGAGGACTTTCAATGGTGCTGTGTGAGCAGAAGCCAGAACTATAGTGTGTCGAAGAATAAATGAGACACAAGATAGCAAAAGGAGACTAGATTTTTAACAGGCCACGTTGTTAACTGAAATGGGAAGGAGATAGAGGGACAACATGGTCAAGAAATGTTTTTTGAAGGCGGCAGCGCTTATATGACACACTTCTGCTGGCAATGTCCTCCTTAGAAACTGCTTGCCAAGGAACTCCTTAAAACTATTAGACTAGCTGGATTCCTATACCTGCCCCTGCTTGGTTTTTTTTGCCTCACCTGTTGTCTTGCTCCAATTTCTTTCCAAGTAAGCCTTCGTGATGTATCTTGGGGAACAATTCCACAACTGCAGCCCTTTAGCAAGAAGAACACTTGTATCTCTGGTAAATATGGTGGGCAGACAAAAACTTTATGAGCCATCACTTAGGTGAAGGGCAGCAACTTGACTGAGCTACTCAGACACAGACCAGGGGAAGTAGTTGAGTTAGAGCACTTCCTTAGGGTCAGGTTCCACATGTTCATATATGAAAGAGAACAGAGAAGATAACTATCACATGTAGTATCATACATTCTACGATACAAATCTTCAAAATTAGAGGCTTTAAAAAATGAAGCCAAGTTGTGCATGTATTCATCAAGTATCTACTGAGGCTTATGATGTCTTGATGGTAAGACACTTTCTTGAGCAAACAAAGGTTTCTGGCTTCCTCTGCAAATAAAAATAATTACCACTTCCCAAGCGATTCATCTGTGTGTTCCAGAGGGATACCAGCAGAAGAGACAACTTGGAAAAAGTCAAGGTCAGGGCACCACTCCACTGTGAGAGACAAGTGGAGAAAGATCCCAGCAGGTTAGGTTCAACAGAGAAGCAATAACACAAGGAGCCATGCAAGTCTTCCCAGATATCCCAGGCTTTAAATGTCGTATCCTATTCTGTTCATTAAGCAACCCCTATAGTCTATAAAAGTGTTCAAGTTTTTTGAATAGTTCTACCCAGTCGATAACAATTACTCTGTCAGGTAAATTACCCAGTTGATAACAATTACTCTGTCAGGTAAATTACCCAGCCAGCATTTTGGTTTATCAATCAGTCTCTCTTGCCCAATTGACAATCAATACCTAAAAGTTTATCCATTGCTGTGTTAGATGGCATATCTGACAATTCAGTGAAAGGAAGTTGGTCAAATCCCACAAGAGACTGCCAAAGAAAGAAATGTCTAACCACAAAAATACCACAACTAATTACAAATAGTGATCAGGTTTTAAAGGGATTGTCTCCTAGGTAGATTTTAATAGAAATCTTGAACAGTTAGGGGGAAAAAAAAAGATACCGTTAATGATTGGGTCAATAACAGAATGTGACAAAAACACTAAAAATTTCTGCACGTACACACACTCATATCACAAATCTAGTCAGAAGGAAATACAAAGAAAAGGAAGACAGAATTTTTAAAAATAATTTACAAGGGAAGTTCTCTATCAGTTCTAAAATATCATCTTCCTTTAAAAAACTTTAAGACTGGAATGACAGATCATTTCCCTCACTGTGGCAAATACTACAGATTTATCAGCAAAGAGGTAAGTATCAATATAATTTTTCCTTAGTCTTGAACACATAGGGAGCAATTAAATAGATTATAAACCGCATTTGACCTGATCTTATAAAAAGTCACTCCAGCTGTCTTCAGGTCTGCTCTGACTCCAGATAGATTCCAGGATAGGTCTGTGTCACTCAGTCCATCCACAATAGGTTGGATAGGGTTGTCTGTAGTAACTGCCAGGATACCACCTTTCATTCTGGGCTGCTTCTCTGGCACTTGGCTTTACATTCCAAGAGTACCTCCTCTGTGAATAGTCCTCTCCAGAGGGACCAGGAGGAGGGATATGGCCTCTCTGGTAAATGTACTGATGCTGTGAAAATTTCCTTAAACAAAACAAAAAGTAATAAACTATTATTAGTTTTAATAAAATATATAATAAGCTTTATAAAATAATAGATACTCTGGTTCTGCTGTTTTCTACCTGTGTGATCTTAGTAGATAAACTGCTTAATCTTTGGATTTCTTAGTTCTTTATAAAATGCAGCTAATAATACCTTCCATCTTCATGGGTTGTTTTGAAGGTAAATTAAGACAATATATTTAAATTACCTACCGCAATGCCTTGGCACACAGTAGGTTCCCAGGAGCCTTTCTACTTTTCCCTATAGAGATAAATATGCATGCCTCTACTATTCTAATCAGATACTTTCTCTCCAAGTCTGGCGGGGTTGACATGACACAATAAGCTATCTAGTTTTGAAAACAGAAAACTGCTTTCACTTTATAAATACATATATAAATTAATTATAAAGTGTAGAAATTTGATACATGCAACAAATTTGGAAAATTAGGATTTAAATATAATTGTTTCAAAAGCAATATAATATATTATAAATAACATAAATATAAAGTAAATCTAATATAATCATACAAAAGAAAATTTGGAAATCTGAGGGAAAAAAAAAAGTCCTTCACACTCTCAATCCCACTTAATCTAATTCAACTGCTTAATATTTCCTTTGGTCTTTTTCCCCTGCATGTTTTTTTGACTGTTGAATCATAACCTATTATTTTCACTTATAAGTGAGCTATCACTTTCGATGGCTTTAGAAAATGTCATAGTATGGATATAATAATTTACTTAGCTATTCTTCATTGTTAGAAATGCAAGCCACTACCAATTTTTCCACTGCTATAAATAATGCTGGGATTAACATCTCAGAACATATACTACTACATGCTGAGCACCTAGTCCAGTGTCTGATACATAGCAGGGAGTTTGACAAATGCAGTGAATGACGGAATGAATATACCCTTTTCCATATTTTGAAGTATTTCCTCAGTCTCAACTTGGAATTACCAGGTATGAGCATTTTTTTGGCTATTAAAGTTATGTTTCAAAAGGGCTGTACCGATTTTCAGTGCCACTGGCAACACAAGCAACATCTTTCTGAAATGTTTACATCTTGTAAAAATGCCAACATCTTTCTGAAAGTGTTTATAATGTGCTAAAGTACTTTATTAACTCATGTCATAGTCAACAACAATCCCTATGAGGTACGTAATATGAAAATTTCCATGTGACTGAGGAGAAAACAGAAATTTAGAGATCTTACCCAAGATCACACAGAGGGTGAATGGCAGAGCCAGGATGCAAATCCAGGTCTAGCCTGACAACCACTACACTGGACTGCCTTGTCAAAAACTGTTGCTAAATTAATAGGCAAAAAATAGTACCTTACTATTTTAACTGTACTGATGTTTTCCCCATTTCCCAAGTAAGAGACTTTTGTGATTTATCTTTAAATCTTTTGTAAATTTCTCTACTGGAATTTTACTATTCTTCCTATAATTTGTATTTACCCTTTAAATAACAACCTTCCTTATTCTGAAAACTATACCACTATTAATGTAGCCTAAGAATGAAAGATCCTTTTTGGTAGTCACATCAAATTGTTGCCTTAAACTAAGTGTAGAATCAATGAAAATTCTAAGTCCTTTTCCCAATTGCCTCTGAAAACTCACATATTCCCCATCCTGTACTTGATTTTCCAGCCCTAATTGTAAAATATGGAGCAAACAACACCTCCTGGTTGACAGTGATCAGCAAGAAAACATCTATTCCTCATCACTATTATAATGTGTTTGCACAAATTTATAATATTAATTTCTATTTCAATTCTAGAAAAAGGGAAAGCAGAGATACCTTACTGACTGCTGCAAATCTCGACTCTGGGTGTGGAAATGCCGAGAAGGTATTGGGTAACCTTGGGTCTGATGCAGGTTATACCTAGGTCCTTGGTTAACAGACTTATTAGTGGTGTGGACTGGTTCCATCATATGTGTTACGTCTTCAAAACCACTTGATCTGGATACACCGGAATCCCGATTCCTCAAAGTGAATATTTCCACACAATATTACAGTAATAATTAAAATTATTCCAAATTTAGTAGCCAATTTAGTGACTATATTTTGGCCCATGAAAATAGCAATCCCATCCTCCCCTCATTCCTATTTGTTTAGGTTTCCCTGAGCAAGTAAACAAGCTACAAGAAGAATGGATATGTGCAACTTTAATGATATAAAAAGTTATCTCCCTAACCACAAATCTCACATATAAAATGCAACTTACTTTCTGATGGGACCATTCTGAAGGTCTTCAATGTAGTTTTGTCTTTCTAAGCAATGTCCCCGGCACCTATTGAATACTGAGGAGTGGATGAACTGTTAGAAGTAACTGTACAAAAAGCAAATCTTTCCCAGAGAAAGCAGATCAAAGCTGAAATCCAGTGACTAATTAGTCAGGCTGGTATATCTCACTATTTCCAGATACATCCCTTCATAAATAAATAAATCTTTGGGCAAAGATTATCTTATGTCAGAACAAATGAATTACAAACTTTTCTTTTTTTCCAAAATTTGAGAAATCCATCTACGTTTCCACCTCTAACTTTTATAAAAAGGGAAAAAGTGACAACCCTCATACTTACATTCAATCGCATCATCTGGCCTCATGCCTTCTACATCAATCAAATATCTAACAAAACAACATAATTTGAGTCATTTATATATAAAAAGAAAAAATCAGGGTTTTTCAAAAAAGGTCCAATTTCACTTACAAATATAAAAATCCTAAGCAACTATCAGCACACTAATCCAATAATTATTAAAAAATGATGTACCATGACCACAAAAAGGCTTTATTTCAAGGATGCAAGGATGACCCAAGTTTAGAAAATCTATTAATATAATTATTTACATTAATATAACAATTTAATTAATAAAGGAAAGAGAAGAAAAGTACAGGATCAAATTGGCAGACATTAAAAAAGTACCTGATAAAATACAATAGTCATTTTTGATCAAAATGCTTTGTACACTAAAGACAGGAGACTTACTTAACACAACAGAGTATTTACCAGGAACTAACAAATAGCAGAAGACAAATTGTGAAAAATATTAACATCATACCTAAAAAATACTATCTAACCAACCGTATGGGCCAGAAACTTAGGAGTCACCATCACTGTCAGCCATTTCTTCCTTACCCTCATCTTCAGCCCAGCACCAAGTCCCAACAATGATATTATCTTAATATGTCTAGAATATGTCCACATCTTTTCACCAAAATGACCACCACACCCTGGTCCAAGCCATCATTATGCCTTGATTTCTACAAAAGCCTCCTAACTTGTCTCCTTGATTCCACTCTTTCCTCCTGAAGTGTATTCTCCGCTCAGTAGCAAAATGATAGGTTGAAAATGCAAATTTGATTATGTTCCACACACTCGTCCTCAACTAAAAAAAGTTCAATGGTTTTCTGTTACTCTTAAGATACAGTCTAAAAGCTTAAACACAGGCCTGCATGATTTAGCTCCTACCCATAGTTTCCCCATGGCCCAGCCTCCCTGGCCAGTTCCTCCATCACAGCATATGCTCCCTTGTTACAGTGTCTTTGCTGTTCCTTATGCCCAGAATTCTCTCCCCAGTGTCCCTATCTGGTTAACACCTACTCATTCTTCAGATATCAGCTCAAACATCCCCACGGAACCTTTCTCTAATCTCCAAGATGAGGTTAAATCCTCCCTATTAATACACTCTCATAGTACTATGTCCCTCTCCTTCATGGCACTTGTCAGAGTTGTAATTCTATATGTATTTGTGTGATTCCTGAGTATCTATTCCCTCTCTAGACTGTTAGGATTCACAAAGGTCAAGTGTCTTTGTTCACAAAGTCTCATGAGTCTTTTTGCTAGCACCCAGCACAGTGCTTACAAACAGCAGATGCTCAATAAGTATTTTCCAAATGAAACAAACATAAATTGGTACAGTGTAGCAACATCCACAAAAAAGCATAAGGGCGTCAACTCTTTGATTCAGAAATTCCATTCTGAGGAGTATTATCTCTGAGATAATAGCACGTATATTCAAAGATGTTCATATAGGAATGTTCACTACTTCAACGTTTTAGGATATCAAAAACTCCTGACTTCTATGTTCATCAGTAAGCAAAGGTACAATGCAGCCTTTAAAAAAGAATGAGGTCTCCAAATACTTTCATAGGAAGATATCCACCATATACAAAATTATAAGAGAATGTCTAAACATTACACCATTCAATTACATGTACATGCTTATATCTGCATTTTTAAAGTCTGAAAAAACATGTAGTAAATTGTTACAGGTGGTAATCTCTGGTTGGGAGCAAGATTGCTTTCTACTTTATACATTCTGTACAGATTTCATTTTTTGCAACTAGCTTATGTTACTATTCTAAACAAAACAACTAAACATGGCCTTGTCTCTTGGGGATGGCAACTCACCTGCAGATGAGGTAGCCAGTCCTATTTAAACCATGGGTACAGTGGACACCAATAAGTTTGTCTATAAAACAGGAAATATAGAGTTAAATAAGTGAAGTAGTTATACAAGTTATACAGTTTTCTGAAGAATACATTTATTACTTACCACAATACTACCACTACCCCAAAAAGGAATAACTCTGAAGAGGAATGTGTTTTTATAGGAACATATGATAAAGAAATTATCTAATGTAAAGTCAAAATTCATTGTTTCTGGGAAATTTTGCATAGCCCCCAATTAGACACAATAGTGTAAACTGGAGAAGGTCTGGTCAGGTACTAACAGCTAAAACTCCATTGAGGCTAACCCATTTGTCTTAATACAGAATGCCCATCAGTAATTGATTTAATTATAGAGAAAGGAAGTGGGAAAAAACAGGCTATAAGAAGAATGAAATTTGTTTTTGAGGGAAACAAATGAAATGCCTTCACTTTTAATACTGAATATTATAAAGAACAGAGTTTCTGCAGTACTCTAGGGTTCCCAAAACACTTCCATTCCATCTCCCATTTGCTGCCCCTCCCAGGCCACAGGTCTACATGCCCTGTGAAATACTCGGGTAAACAACACTGTTTGCATCTTACAATGAAAAAGCAAGACTTGGAGATAAATCCAAGCTACACAGCAGGAAAATAGAATAAAGACTAGAATCGAGTCTAACAGTTTTCCAGCTATGCCATAGTATTTCAAAAATTATATGATAAATTAGATAAAAAACAACATGTAGTTGACCTTTGCAAAATTTATGTCTGTGACTAGGTGGTGTCTGGTAGGAAGGCACTGTCATCTCCTGCCTGGATTACTACCTTCCTGCTTCTAACCTCTTCTATTTCAATTGATCCTCCACATGGAAGACGTTATCTTCCTAAAATACAAACTTGGCTGGGTTGCTCCTTTGCTTAAAAATCTTCATTTAGCATAGAATAAAGCCCACAGCACTTATAACTCTTTATAGATATCAATCTGTCTCTCCCACTGAACTGTAAGTCCACAATGATCCGAACTACGACTCACAAGGACCTACACGATCCACCTTCCTCCTGCCCCCTGCCAACCTCTCTGCTCCCATTTTCTACTGCTCTCAGCTCACCTGCTCTCCCCACTCCAGCCACACTGGCCTCCTTACTATTCCTCAAACATACCGAGCATAGGCATGCCTCAGGGACTGTGTACCTACTATCTCCTCTGCTTTAGAACACTCCCTCTCCCCGCACCCCCTGGCCCCTGAGATATCTAATGGCTTGGTTCCTCACTTCTTTTAAGGCTCTGCTCAAATGACATCTTAATAGAGAGGCCTTCCCTGATCACCCAGCACATTCACCCACCTCTTTATCCTGTTTTGTTATTGTCTAAAGCACTTATCACCATCTGACATTCCATATTTACTTATTTATCACTCTCCCCCACTAGAATGTAAAGTATATAAGGACAAGAACTTTCTTCTGTTTCTACTTCCTACAACGCCTTCAACTTAGAAGGTGTTGTATAAATATTTGTTGAAAATGAATACATGAATTCTATGCCCTTTCACACTACCCTCTAGTCACACCAGAGGCTGCCTCTCCATGGCCCAAGTTCAAGCCCTGTGCCTTTTGTACCTGTTCCCAATACCTGGGCTGTCCTTTCCTCATTCTGGCAAAATCCTCTTCCCCCATCCAGCTCAAATGCTGTCTCCTCAGTCAGGCTTCCCTCAGTCTCTCTTCTGTATTCCTGCTATACTTAATTCTTTTATTATACTTAACCCACTGTCTTACAGTTACTACATGTTTATCTTCCTAGGTAACTGTAAGTTTCTAATGAACAAAGACTGTTGTTCACCTCTGTATCCCTGTGCCCTAACAACAAATCTAAAAGGCTTCCGAGTTTACTGAATCAACTTATTTTCTGAGTCTCCCAGTTCTAGGGAGTGGACAGTGTAGCGTCCTCCTCTTCATCAGTGAGCGTGCTATCTGTGCTAGGGGCTTATAGCAGAGGCAGCCAAAATGGATCATAAGCAAGGTCCCGCGACTGCTATAGCAGAGAGCACAGTGACGGCAGTACAACATGGGCAGAAGACCAACGTGGAGGGTCAGCCTATGCAACAGACTATACTCAGTGTAACACGTGAACAAGTGAGATTTACAAACGTGTTCTCATGCACTCATAAGGATCTTCTGGCCCTCACAGAACAGATGGAATACTGTATAACAGTTCCACACAAAGGAGCCTGGAAGTAGAGAGGAGGCTCACAGCTGCACCCTAATATCTTAAGAGGCAAAGTTTCCATGAGTACAGTTTGTACAAATCAGATAATTTACAGCATCTATAGATGCTGTGGTTATCACAGGCAAGGCCAAATCGCTCAAGTTTTAAAGTACAAGGAAGATCTGTGAACAGGGCTTAAGATATTTAAGAGCTAGTGCCTACATTAAGTGACCAAGCTATAGTTTGAAAATTTATCTTAAAATTCCTGTCTCTCTCTCTCACCTCCCATTTCCTATCTTCTCACCCTCATCTCCATTCTTTTTCCCCTACTCCTTGTTTTATATATATATGGAATATTCAGTATCTGTCAAATTTATTTAATAAAGTGTACACTCCTCAAGCTAACCTTAGAAAGATGGCACTTTGTCCTGTGGGTCAGTGGCTTTCCAAAGACAAAAGATTCTTTAGTCTTAAAATATGGCAAATACCCTTTTCTGATAGTTAGAGACCAGAAAAAGACAACTGGATCCTTAAAATTCAATTTTATTAAGACCTATTTTCAACAGAGTAAGGTAGATCTTTAAGCAGGAACCAGAAAGCACCAGCCTTTTAAGTTCATTCTGTCTGAAGAATAAGAGTAAGAGGTGGTAGTGTCCTTCCTCACTTGTACCCAAAGTGGAAAAACAACAGAAGTATCTTAAAGACTTATGATGAGGATGCCACTCCACTGGTCCACTCCATTCTGTTTTGCTTCTAGGGGTCTGTCTCACTCCAAACCTTTGCCTTCTGTTGTCTCTTTTACATACTCTAAGACCTTGAGATTCTTAATCTTTTCTTCCACCTCTCATCTCTTAACCAATAAATAAGACAAAAGAACATTCTTATTTTATTACATATTTCCCATTCAAATTTTAAAAAAAGAGACAAGTGAGCTAATTCCACTCATATTTCTCACTAAAATCACTTTCCAAATAAAATTTTTTATTTGTGACCATAAAAAGGAAAAACATCTTACTCTATTAGCACCATCTGACATTTCCACCTTAACATTATCAAAAACAAGAGGCCTAATGTCAAAACTATTAAAAATATTAAAAATCCTCAACCCCATTCAAAATGCATACCCAAGTTCAAGTAAGAAAAAAAAACTCACCATTGTCTTTATTTTCTTTCAAAAACTCATTAACAGCACATTTGAATTTAAAAACAGTGTCATCATCAGGCACCTGATGCCCAATCGTATAAATCTTTAAGTAAGGAATAGTTTCTGGTAAGTCCTATGAGGCAAAATCAGGAAAATGTATATTATTTCATTTGTACGGAAAAAATGAAAAATTAATTAAAGGAGCCAGAATAAAAACCAAGAGATTATAATAAACTCAGTACATTAGCAATTCTGATAAAAGAGCCATTTTTTCCAAAGCTGCTTCAACCAGGAAGATAACTTGATTTTCACTAAAACTACAGAATGGATAATCAATTGGCATACCAAATTGAAAGCAAAGTCCATGTCAATGAATGCACGTATAACTAAAAATTGTATAAACAGCTCTACCTAATATTTTACATTTCAAGGGCCATGAAGCAGCTGTAATTTAAGTAGAACAGTAAAACAGAGTCAGAAAAACTTAAATTTGAATTGTGAAGATAGAGCAAATTACAGGCACTGATGAGAACTGGTATACTTGAGGTGGGAGACAGTAGATACCAATAAAAGACAGAAGAAGCGAACTGAAAATCCTGTACTGAATTTAAATGGAGAGTATCAGTATGAACCTATGATGTATTTTATATTAAAAACAAACATACAAACACACTTCCTAGCTCTGAGCATTGAAAAAGCCTAGAAAAAACTGATGTCATCTCATGTCAAAAGGACTCAGGAGCCAAATTAAGAAGCTCCAACTGGCCAAAGATAGGGCCTCAATTTGTGCATCAATAAAAATAATAACTGCAATGGACTCCACAATGATACAAAAACTAAAAAAATGAAATAAATTCTAACCGGTCACCACTGGAGGATATTGGTGAATCAACTCATTATTCTGAAAACTGTTAAATAAAAGAAAAGAATCACGCCTCTACAATCGGGCAACCAAATAGCTGCTGAGAGGAAGCTACTCTTGACAGAAAAATACCCAGCTAATAAATGAAAAAACAACAACAGGGGGCCGGCCCGGTGGCATAGTGGCTAAGTTTGCACGCTCTGCTTCGGCGGCCTGGGGTTCACAGGTTCGGATCCCGGGCGTGGGGCAACGCACTGCTTGTCAAGCCATGCTGTGGCAGCGTCCCACATGAAGTAGAGGAAGATGGGCACGAACGCTAGCCCAGGGCCAATCTTCCTCAGCAGAAACAGGGGGATTGGTAAGGGATGTTAGCCCAGGGCGAATCTTCCTCAGTAAAAAGAGGGGGATTGGCAGCGGATGTTAGCTCAGGGATGCTCTTCCTCACACACACACAAAAAAAACACGACAACAGAATTCACCATTTTTTGAAGCTCCAAATGAATTAACAGATGTAGGTATCAATCATCAGGGACTGCTAATATCAGAGAAAGAGACATCACTCACGTGTCTCCAGGGAAAAAACATCATCACCTATGAAACTGTCTTGCAAAAAAAAAAAAAAACCCAACCAAGCCTGAATCCAATCAAGCATCTAGGTCCAACTACCAATTTACAGGAAATAAAAGGACTGAAGAATATGTGAGGAACACATGGGGACACAATTATCAAAATGAAGAAGGGACAAAATACCTGGTTTCTTCAAAAAATAAAATTCAAAGGGGAAAAAAAGAAAGTGAGAAGACATGAAAGGAGAACCTAAAGATTAAATAAGACTTCAGAGACCTAACAAATGAAAACTGTGGACCTTATCTGGATCTAAATCAAACTCTTAAAAACAATTTTTATGACATTTAGAAGACAATTGCAAATTTGACCACTGACTGGATATTTAATAGTAAAAAATGATATTAAGGAATAAAAGTCCTATATTTTAGCATACACACCAAAAATGTACAGGTGAAATAATATGATATCTGGGATCTACTTCAAAATACTATGGAATGAGGGAAACAGGTAGAGGTATCGATGAAAGATGACAGACACCAGCTGATAAATATTAAAGCTGGGATGAGTTCATGGGTGGACAATGACACCGCAGCATTATGTCTCCTTCTGTATATGTTTAAAATTTATGATTACTATTTAAAAACAAGAAGACACTGTGGAAAAGAGTTTGGCAGTTCCTCAAAAGTTAAACATACAATTATCACATGAACCAGCATCTTCACTCCTACCTATACACCTAAAAGAATTGCAAGTAGGGATTTGAAAAAATATTTGTACACAATGCTCATAGCAGCATGATTCACAATAGGCAAAAGGTGGAAGCAACCCACATATCCATCAATAGATGAGTAGATAAATAAAACATGGAATATTACTGAACCATAAAAAGGAGTGACATTTTGCTGTATGCTATAACATGGACGAATCTTGAAAACATTATGTTTACAGAAAAAGGCCAAAGAAGGACACATATTATATGATTCCACTTATATGAGGTACCTAGAATAGGCAAATTCATAGAGACAGAAAGTAGAATAAAGGTTACTCGGGGTGGGGGGAGGGGAAATGGGGTTGCTATTGTTTAAGGGTTACAGAACTTTTGTTGAAGATGATGACAAAGTTTTGCTCATAGACAGTGGTGATGGTTACCCAACACTGTGAATGCACTTAAAGCCAATGAATTGTAAACTTAAGAATAACTAAAATGATAAATATTTAGTGTCAAATATTTACAACAATAAATGTTAAGTATCTTACTACAATAAAAAAAAAAGGAGGGATAACTGAGTTCAAATTTTAATTCTTCCTTCTCTGCACCTCAGTTTTATCATCTGTAAAATTATTAATTGTAATCATCTATCCTCTGAGCTTAGTGCAGAGTAAGCACCCAGGAGGAAATACGAGTACCAGGAGGAAATACGAGTACCACTACTACTTCATCAGCAAAGGACTGTTGTGAGGATCAACTGAGTTCATGTACGTGAAAGCATGTCTTAACTGGAAGCTGCTGTGCAGGCATACCTCCTTTTACTGTGCTTCACAGATATCGCATTTTTTACAAAACCCTCCATCAGCAAAAAAATTACATGCTGCAGGCTCAGATGATGGTCACCATTTTTTTAGCAATAAAGTATTTTTTAATTAAGGTACGTACATTGTTTTTGTAGACATAATGCTACGGCACACTTACCAGACTACAGTCTAGTGGAAACGTAACTTTTATATGCACCGGGAAACCCAAAACATCCTGTGACTCGCTTTATCGCGGTGGTCTGGAACAGAACCCGCAATATCTCCGAGGTCTGCCTGTACAGATCTTAACAAACATTAGGTCTTATGGTTTCCCAGGGCCGTGGAACTGGTCAGAAGAAGGACAATTCTTTCCAACTGATATGCCACATGGGCCAACAGACTATATTGCTTCCTTTATTGTATCAAGAGATATTAGGAAAAGAAAGCATCAAACTTAAAGAACTTTTACCGAGACGCTTACACATGCTCAGACAACTGCTCAAAATAAGTGCTAAAGACATAAAGGATATTTCTTTTGTTCCTTTTAGGCTACTATTCTTCTTACTAAACGTTACTTCATTTTCAAAATACAGACCATGGAAGCTTACAGAATTTCTTCAGTACCTATAGAGGCTATTGCCAAATATTACAGTTCAATTCACGTCTTTAATCTCATTTTGAGATACCAAGTGGAAATGTGTAATTAAGGAAAACACTTGGTTCCCTTCTTGGACTATTATCCATGAAAGATGGCCAGGATTCACCTTAGCATAAGATGATAACTAGTGAATTACTATCAGTTATTACAGTATCAGAAAAAAGAAGGTTTTTTTCAATTAAGGGTTCCATTTACCTCTGGTTTATAATAGCGGTGGGTATACGTTAAATCAATAATCAGTCCAAGTTCTTCATTCTGCTCTTGGATTTTCCTAAAAAGATCTATGGGTGAAAAACGTTCTTCTGGAGCAAGCTTCTCTTCAAAATTCTGTCAGAGAGAAGGAAATAAGAAAAAACAAACGTGTGCTTGAAATCCTTTGATATTATCCATTGATTCAAGCCCTGTGATGCTAACATCAATGAGATTCAAAGGAAGTTTCCACTCTTCTGGAAATTACAAGCTATATTACAATCCTTTCTTCCAGAGATGAGAGGAAAGAAAGTCAGCTCACTTCTACATATTTATTTCTGCGTTTGTCTGTTTCACATGGGTGTCCTAACCAGACTGTAAACTCCCAGAAGGCAGGGACCACACATCAACGTTGTCCACCACTGTACCTCCACTCCACGTAGAGTGCCTATCAACAGGCACATATAAATACTTCTCGAATATCCACATAAATGAAGGATGGCTTTTATTGCTAAGTATTCTTTTAGGTATTTGGCTTATTTATGTACTCTGATCCGTTGATCAACAGATTATTCAAGTGTCAGCAACCAACGTTTTTTAATTGACAGACTAGTTTTTAGAGCAGTTTTCAGTTCATAGCAAAACTGGGCAGAAAATACAGAGTTCCCATTTATCCCCTCTCTCCCTTACCCTACACAGCCTTCCCCACCATCAACACTCCATCCCAGTGAGCTCCACTTGTTAGAATCAATGAACCAACACTGACACATCATTATCAATCAAAGTCCATAGCTCACGTTATGAGTCACTCTTTGTGTTGTACATTCTATGGGTTTTGGCCAATGTATAGTGACATGTATTTACCCTCATAGTATCATACTGAATAGTTTCACTGCCCTAAAAATCTCCTGTGCCCCAGCAACACTTTTAATACAGCTTAATATCTGGTAGGGCTAGATGACCCCCTTTCACCATTATTCTTGTTTTGCAGAATTTTGCAGGCTCTTAAGTTTCTTTTTCTGTATGAGTTTTAGAATTGGCTTTTCTGATATGATGTTAAATTTATAAATTAACTTAGGAAGACTTATGATGTTGAGTCTTCCACAGAATACTGTAAAATGTTTGAAGACTATATTAATTACAACAAGATGTACAATCTCTCCAGTCAGTTTCTTCCAGACTTGGAGCTCAAGGATCATTACCATCTCCAGCTATCTGAACAATAACCAACCTTATATAACTAATTTAGTCACAAACCCTTTAGGAAGACTTCCTTGCTTAACCCTGTCTGTTATCATTTCCCCCTCCTTTGAATTCCCAGGTATTTCTTACCATGGCATTTATTTGACACTTAGCATTTTCTATTTTATATTTCAGTGTGCTTGAGACCTGACTATCAAGCATTGAGGCAGCTTTTCTTTGGGTGATTTCCACCAAACATATAGGAAACCAGTGTCACATTTCACTGCCACGTGGGGGTAATGCATCTCCCTAACTCTACCGCATGACAGAGACTGCACTGGGAGTGGCTGTACAGCTTTGTAATCCCCTAATGGTGCCTAAAACAGTCCCAACACTGAATAGAATAACTTGTGTACAGAGAGCTAGAAGGGGCCTTTTATCATGACATCACATAGGAAAGATGTGTGGCCGTGTGGAGGAAAGGAAACTAAAGAGTCTTCCTGTTTTCTCTCTGCTGATGTCCTTTCAGAAAAGGGGCTAAGCAGGGACCCCTGTGGAACCTCAGGATCCCCTCGTAGAGGCTGTGGAGCAGGGAGTGAGGAGTTAGGAAAATCGCGGCAGAGGAGAGAGGAATATAGGGGGAAATTCACAGTAACTGCCAATGCGGCTGGGGAGTCAGTCGACTCATTCAACAAAGACTGCGAAGTATTTATCATGTGTCAAACACTATGCGTGGTGTTGCTGGATGTCAATAAGAACCATTTGTTTATCTTTATGAAATGACTAATGTTTAAGTCCAGAGATGCAGAAGAATTGACATAGTGGTGAAAAAGGAACCCTGACCTATGGGGCACAAATTAAATTCCCAATACATTCAAAGTGGGCTTTTCCTGATACTAATTCACACTATGCTGGGCAGGTTAATGAGACATGGAATCTCTTCTCACCTTTTTCTTAATCAGTCAAATGCTTTCCCTACCTATTCGTTTCTTAGTTCAAACAAAAACACAATTTTCAGAGTTTTCATGCTGAAATCCTGACCTTGCTGATCCTGGGCAGTTTTTTGGTTGTGACGATGGGATGGAAGGGGTCTTAATGGCATGTAAAGGGTGAGGGTCATGGATGCCACACACCTTGCCAAATTCAGAATAGTCCCATGAATGTGTCTCACACCAGAATGACTTTTGAATGCCCTATTCAACATTCACATAGGTGAGAAAACTGTTCATAATCATCTAACCCTCAGAACCTAACTCCATTTCACAAATAAACCGAAAGGTTGTTTTTTGCAGTTTTTATGTATATTGAATTCTCCAGGACAGCAATCACCTTATCAACCAAGTGAAGACTGTACTTTGCTCTCTTTGGAAATCTACTAAGCACTGTTCACTACCACGGAAACTCTACCACTAAGGCAATATAACCCACCTAGATGAGTCTGCACATACCTCTTTTGCATTCATGGCACACAAGTAACTGCCGATTTCTTTATCTTTAGTAAAGTCATGCCCAAATACTGACATATGGAAATGTAAATACATATTACTTTATTATAAACTACTTTATTTTATTTATTCTTTATATTATAGTTAAAACATTACATTGATTTTTTTCTCTAAAATTAAGTATGAAAACAAGTTGTATATATCTATGAATTTCATTCAAGGAGAGTAAAGGGGTTATTACAAAGTATTTGCTGTAAAAAGGGAAAATAGAGTGAGACAGGGTGAGAACCAGAGTTCTACATGGTGTATTCAGATTTCTGAAAGAATACCAAATTAACTTTTGCTTACCTTTTTCAAAGGAACTTTGAAAGCAATGAAACGAGTCCCAGGCATCCGTTGTCCAAGTGGGAGATAGTCTTTCCACCTATTAATACATTTTTTGTGAGCCAAATTTTATGTTAGCCTCTCTCCCTGCACAGAATGAAGGCCCACTGAAAATGGAAATCACAGCAGACACAGTAGGTCCCCTGTTCTCTCTACTCTGCATTTTGCTGTTCCCCTTCTTCAACCCCATCTAGTGACCACCTATACCCCCTTCTTCCTGTTTGCCCATCTTGAAAAGATACAAGCCAACAAAACAGAGCAAAGGTCTCCACAAATAAGGACTAACTAAAACCAGAGATGGCCAGAACTTCTGCATCCTTGACAAGCCAGCGCAGTCCTATGGTGGGTGTTATCACTACATACTAAGAATGCTAAGGTGTCATCAACACATACACGTTGACTGAAATAGTTTACACTGAATTCTCTCACTTCACAGTTTATTTTTAGTCCTAATACAACTGATGCCATCAAATTCAATCAATGTGGGACTTCAAGTTCAAATTTTAGAAGAAAATGATAAAAAAAGGAAGTGTGAACTCCACTTAATGCTAGGAGTCACAGCGAAAAGGAATATTAGAGCTGACTTCTGTAGGGTGAGGTAGGATTAACTGAGGTTAACTCAGTGTATCTGAACCATAGAAAGTGAGGGCACAAGGGGCACAAGATGGGGCTGGAGAAGCAGAGAGGATTCTAGACCACGCAGACTTTTCAAGGACAGGGTCAAGAGATTGTTTTTCTTCTTAGAACAATATTTTTGAGTGATGTTTCTGAGCAACGTTCCAACTTGCCTATTAAAAAGATTTCCTGTGTGAAGAATGGATTGGAAGGAAACGAGACTCCATACATGGACACTAGTTAGGACTAAACGCAGAAGATAGTCAAGTTCTGTATTAGGACGCTGAGGGAAAGAAGGTGACAGATTCCAAGACATTCAGGAGATAAAATGAAGGGGACTTCATGAGGTATGAGATGGAGGAAAGAAAGGTCTCAAGGAATAAAAAAATTCACTGCACATATAAGTAAAGTCTCACAATTAATCATTGGAACGTGTTAGAGGAAGATCTCTCAAACGAGACCAGTGACAAAGCAACAGATGCCCTCTGTGATTGCTGGAAAAAATAGAACCAACATTTCCGGCGGCAAGTTCTGCGATACTGGAGCTGGAGCGTTTTCTCACTCAGACTTCGCGCTGATTACTCACACGCTCCGTGCCAAAACAACACAGCTGGAGGGACTGAGCGGGACTCCACTGGGGCAATCAAGGGGAGTCCTCAACACTGACAGTCGGCAGTCCCTCTGCACTTTACCCGGGCAGCGATGGCCAGAGCCTCGCTTTTTAAAGGATGGGGAGAAATCAGAACATCACACACCGGCCCACTCTGCTACAGCGGGCGGAGCAGCCGGAGGGTCAATGCCTCCTAGCCAAGGGCCGACGGGCCAAGCGCGCAGCGGCGGCAAAAGTGACCAGCAGAGCCCACAGGAGACGAGGCCCGGGCCCAGGAGCCAAGAGCCGGCAGGGCCAGGCCCAGGGGACAAGACGTATTACCTTTCCGGGATGTGGTTTCTGCCCTTCCTCTTAGATGAAGAGCGTCGGGAAAAGACGTGTCCCTGAACCCGGCCGCCGCGAGCATGTTGCCATTGGTTCATGTGGGCCCCAAGAAACCGACCACCAAATAACAAGCCCGCCAAAGCCGCCAGTCCAGCGCCCTCGCTGTCGCAACAAGACCCCAGAACCCAAGCGCCAAGGCAGCAATCCACCAAGCTCCCTCGCCCCTTCCTATTGCGCATGCGCCACCGCCCATCCAGATGACGTCAACACGCCGGCTGCCTGAGAAGCTCCATGAGGAAAACCTACTCTGGTGACTACAGCGCCCTCCGTGGCCGGAGGCTGGTAGCACAGCTCATGTAGCCGAGGGCATGTACGTCATCGCCTTGAGATTTCAAACATTACAGCACCGGGAATGAACAGTCAAGTCCCACTCCCCCAGTTCCTTGTGTGGTTCTTCCAGATATTTTCCAAGTATTTACATTCACACTTATTAGATATGAATATTTCTTTGTACCTGTATGCATATTCTCTATTTTATATAAAAGGAGTATAATATACATGTTGTACAATATGTCTGGGATACCGAATTTCCCAGTCACTTTATGCATTCCATTCCATTCTTTTTAATGCTTGCAAAGTATACCAGTGATTATAAGTACCATAATTTATATAACCGGGACAATATTGATGGGCTTTTAGTTGTTTTCAGTTTCTTTGTCCTCTGTTACAGACAGGCTGCCATGTGAACATCCTCTTGCATGTAGACAACTATATCGCAAGTCCCAGAAGTAGAACTGCTGGAAGGAAGGATACGCAAACTTAAAATTGGGAAAAGTACTGTCGAATCACCCTCCAAACACACTGTAGCAACCTACACTCCCCACTTACAGTGAAACTTGGATTGGCTTCCTATCCTGTGACAGGTATCATGCTAGAGCTTGACAGTATCTATTTACCTTTTAGAAAATACCAAAAAATAACTGAGAGAGAGAAGAGTGCAGATCAAGGCTAAGATTTCCACACAGTATCAGGCACAGGGAGCTGTAACTGTTAGAAAAACTCTGAATTCAGCTACAGGTGGAAGAACAAAGAAGAGCGTATCCTTCAGCAGGTCTGAAGGAACAATAGGGTACTAAAGTCCAGATTAAACTGTAGATACTCAGTGAATGTTTTCCCTTATTTTTATTTTTTAGTTTCTACTTTTTGAAAGTACCTTACATATACTTTCAGTAAACTTCACGACCAATTGACAACTTGGTAAACTGAAGGTCAGGAAGATCTGAGGTCTGCAATAAATGAACAAACGAATGAATGAACAAATCGGTAAAAAGATCACTAGCTTTAATGTTTCTGGGATAGTCATAGTCTACCGAAGTTCAAAATCCACAAACATTTACTATGCGGAAAATATCCACAGAATTAAAAATGGGTCAATATTAGTGAATTGCTGTTTGGGAAAAGTAGGGACATAAGTTAGCACAGCACAGTTTGCAAACTTCCAATGAGGCACATTCAAATGTGGTGCTAAGTCAGGAAATATTCCTTTGGAATCTATGAAAAAAAAATCCAAGAGGAGTGTAGTGGTCAAAAAGTACGAAGAGTCCAAACGTCTATAGACATGACAATATACGAAATGTGACATACATCTATCAGAAGCTCAAAAAGCTCTATTGGTCCTGCACTTCCGACTTGCTGAAAGACTCAAGCTTGGGGTGGAAACAGACTCAGAGGGAGATGCCACAAGAAAATCCAGACCCAGGCATAACAGGGTGTCCAGAAAGTAGGCGGAACCAGCAAAGAGTAGGCCCTTGGAGTGGAGTCAGTCCACCGTGAGGTAAAAGAATGCCTTGATAGGCATGCAGGACACTGGAATGCAAGACACAGGAGCAAGGGATATTTGGAGCACCAAAGAGCTACATAGTTGACACTAACAAAACCTACCAGTGTCCGGGAGGGCCCCAGACTGAGGGATTCCAGTCCTTAATTAAATCCAAAAGTGACAACGGGGAGAGAAAGGAAGAGCCTCAGGGCTAGGTGGACGGGGTATGTGCCAGCAAGACAAGTCTCAGTTATCCCCACGGGTACAAAATGCAGGAAGTGGGTCTCTGGGAGAAGACAATTCCCTATCTATAAACAAAAGGCGTTAGGTCAGGGTAGGGCTTGATGCTAAGTTCCAGAGCCTTGGACTAAAGCTCTTGAGCTTCTTCCTCCTACAGTTAAGATTCTTGTAGAGCTTAGGATCATGCTGAGCCTGCAAGCTCAAGTTCAATGGCCATACCTATGGAGAGAACGTGCTTATAGAGGCTGGGAACCAGGAAAGGAATAACTAAGACTTTGCCTAAATAGAATTGAACGTTGGAACTGAATATTTTCACATGTCAATTATTTTACTGCTACCAGAATTTGTCTTCCAACACTTCCACCCCATCTTACACCACCCACCCTAACCTGTAATAGCTCTGGATTCCCTTGATTTCCACGGGAACGTAGAGAAAAGAGAGACCGGTCTGGCTTGCAGATATCTAGTCTATGTTCTTAGCCTCGTGTTATATACTAATGTCACGGAAGTAGGCTATCTGAGGTATGACGCTTAGGGAAAAAGACCTTCAGAAAACATTCAGTGAGCTCAAGCCATACCTCTACACTGCAACAGCCTTCACAATTTCTTCTCAGATAAGCATCCCTCGCTATCACTCAAAAAACTCAGATCACATAATAGGAAAAACAGGCCTATAAATGAAGTATGTGTCTTTGGAGGTCCCATCGAGGAGCTAGCTTCTCGTGGGCTCTTGGCGCCTTGTAGCACACACCTCCCACTCACCGACACTAGAAAAGGCCCCAGATAGGTCCATTAAGACACACTAAACACTTACCTGCAAGGAAAATGACTAGATCCAAAGATTTCCTCCCCAAACAAATCATCGACAACTCAGCCCTCACTCACTGTCTCGCAGTCACAAGACTGGCTAGTGAGAACAGCACTGACCAGGCAAATGAAGACAGAGGCACCCAAGCCAGGTTAGGGGGACTGCAGACATCTGCTCCTCAGGTGTGGGTGCACAGTGTAACTCACCACAGGGCCTTTTCACCGACCGCTTTGTAAGTTTCTCCAGAAAACCCAACAGGTCAAGTTAGTTCATCATGTTAGCTCATGAAAACAAACAATCATCAGGAGACCAACATGCAATATGTTTTTCAATCTTGGATTCCTAAAAACAGGACAAGGAAAAACACATGGACACAGAATCACAGTATCTGAAAACAATCTAAGTTCAACAAACATACCGATGCACGACGAAAACGACGTCACATGACATCAAGCAAAGGGAGAAAAAGATATTGAGGGTTATTCTCTTTCGTGTACAGAATTCACGGCAGTTGCAGGATCCTCTAGCTGTGTTAATAAATATGTATTGAACTGTCTGTTCTGTTAATACAAAAGGAGGCCCACGTATGGCAAGGTAGTTCTCAAGAAACCGAAAACTCCACAGGCACCTCTCTTTTCCTGTACCTTTCACCTTGCCTCTTCCCTATTCTCCACGAATCTCCTCTTCCTTCTCGAACTATTTTCCTCTTCACTTTCCCTGGCCTTGCGCCCGAGCACGGCCGACAGAGAATCCCAGAGGCCCAACACTGTACAGTGCCTGTTCCTGAGAGGGAGAAGGCTACAGTAATTGCCACACTGGATACGCTTCGCTGAGAAGGAAAGGCGAAAGTACCCCGCATGCTCTCCCGTATACGAGAGCGAGATGGCAGGAGGCCTGTGTGGCCCAAGGAGCCAGAGATGGCAAATGATGGGAAAAAGAACTGCAACCAAAGGCTGCAAGAGGAAAGGCCTGCAATCAGCTGTGTCATCTAGCTCTCTGGTATTTGCTTCTAATGGGCAGAGTCCATTTTGAGAAGCATCAGGCACTGAAAAGAAGACCCCTGCTGCTGGAGGTGGACAGGAAGTAACGTCCAGGAGGGTAAGATGCAAGATCAAGGCTGGTGCCAGAAACAACGCCTACAACGAAGAACACAAAAAAGGAGAGCAGAAGAGAGATGCAAGTCCAACCTGGCCCGGCCCGGCCCGGCCCACCCCAAGGAAGGCAGGATTCAAGGAGAAGGAACTAAAAGAGAAGAGCCTTCAACCACATCATTCCCCACAAGGGGCACTCAACAAACCTCACCCTACTCTTGAACCAAGTTACACAAAGAGCTCCTGAATTCACCCTTTCTTTGCTCCTTAAAAGCAGCAGTAAGTTCACTAATTAGAGCCACTCATAAGATTTCAGAACAACTGGAACAGGTCCACCTAGATGTCCCTTGCCCTCCTCTCTAAGGATATCAATTAACTGTACCTATAATAACAAATGGACAATATACATGAAAAAGTAGAAAGTGTAGAAGACAAATAACTATGAATTCATTCTATCAATGAACATCTGTAAGAAACGTTGAGATATTTCCTGCCGGAAGAGCCCGGGGCAGCCAGACGATCGCATCTGTCTCGTGGGATGGCACCTCCCCAGAGCTCAGCCATGGAGGTGCTGTTGGAGCTCTCCCACCACTCCCTCCACCCAATCCCGTCTTCTCGGGGGGAATCTGACCTCCCTATTGGCTATCTCCTACCTGCTTTGTGACATCATTCTCCCCCTAAACCTACCACCACCTGGTAGAATCTTGGGGTTTCCATG